TTTTTTTTTTTAATTGCAATTGGGGGCGGTTGCATGTGGCACCGCCCCCTACACTTTTTCTAACACTTTGTCCCCATCTCCTCCCAGCGCAGCCGAGTGCACTGCAAATGCAGCTTCCTGAGCGTAATCGGGAACAACGCCACCTCAATTCGTCGAGAGAGATATGAAAAGCATGAAAGGGCCTCCAGCTTGTGTAGCCGTGTGAGATTGCCGAGATCGTGATTGGGCGGTGATAATATCTTGTCGTATACTATTCTCAGCTTCTTGATATTGGGGATTCTTTGAACCACTTCCTCACCCAACTTCAAGTTATATACAGTCTGGAGCGTCTCTAGCTTCTTCAACACCATCCCATCACCATTTTCTTCATCCGTTCGTAATGGAAGAGGAGGAGGATCAGTGAGCTGGAACCCGTTGTCTACCTTGGCGTGCCTGAGTTGGGGCATCCGCCAAATGTCCAGCACCGGCCTTATATGGGCCAAACTAACTATTAACGTCTGTAAATTCCAGAGTCGGTTCAAAACTTCCACAGGAAAAAAATTATATTTGGCGACCAGGTGGCACAAGTTGACGGGTAGAAAACATTCTTCTTTATGGCCGTAAGAATTAAATTTATCGTGTTCATTCAAAACCTTAAGCAATCTAAAAGGAACTAGAGATGGTAAATTTCCAACACCTATCCATGTCAGAGATCGAGCTCGTGATGCGGATTGCACAGCTTCAGGGAGTGGACGGGGAAAGTATTTACTCTCTGACGCAGCATGGTGAATGCCAATACGGCGTTGGGCACGCCAACTACTTTTGTCGTGATGCTCAGGGTTGTTGTGCGTTGTTATTTCCATCGTGCGAAACAATTTGTATTTGTCGGCTTCCTTTACGCATAGGTCTCTTAGGAGATCGTGGATGCCGCAGCGTTTTATTCTTCGAGTACGCCCCCACTCACGAACCAAGATTAGATTTCTGATGACAAGACCATGTAGGTACACTTCTCTCGCAATTGTTTCCAAGCTTTTACCGGTCACTTGTTTCACAAATCCTTCAGCAACCCATAGTTTGAGGAGTGTGGGGACGTGAATCCTGTCGTCCTCTGGGAACATGCCTATGTAAAGAAAACACGGCTTCAGGTGGACCGGCAATTGATTGTAGCTCAACTTTAGTATTCTAAAGCAACGCTCGTCTTCCTCTAAATTCACAATCGAGCTTAAATTTTCTAAAATGTGTTGCCAATTTTGTCGTGTTTGTTCAGACTTTGCTAGGAGTCCTCCGATCAAGACAATTGACAATGGAAGGCCACCGCAGCTCCTGGCGATCTCCTTCCCAATCTCTTCCAATTTCGGCGGGCACTCTTGTTCATGAAACACACACCTACGCAACAAATTCCAACTTTCGTCTTGATTCAGAAACCTCATCTGAATGTAATCTGGGCCATCCAGCTGCAAAGCCACGTTCAATAGCCTAGTGGTTATCAACACTTTGCTCCCGTCGTAGTTATTGGGAAAGAAGCACTTCACCCCGTCCCACGCGTCCATACTCCAAATGTCATCCATAACAATCAGATACCTTCGGCCGTATAAGCTTTGATACAATTTTTGTCCTAATTCTTCATATTCGCTGTCCTCACTCCCCGTGGTTATTTTCAAACAGTCAAGGACTTGTAACAAAATTCTTTTCGAATCAAATTCTTCAGAGATTGTAGCCCAGCCGCGAATATCAAACTGTTCCACAATAAGTGGATTTTCGTAAATTGTTTTTGCAAGAGTGGTCTTACCAATGCCGCCCATGCCAGTAATCGCAAAGATCCGACGTCTAGATTGTTGATTGGTCATCTTATCCAGGATGTCGTTCATGAAACTCTCGCCCCCCGCTGAATTAGAAGGACTGTTCAGCTTATCCATGATGTTGTTCATGACCTCATCGGAATCCACCATGGCGTCATCCTCCGTGCAAGAAGGGGCAATTTTTTTCTCCGCCTTGTCTTTAACAGCAGCCACGTCTTTTGTGATGGAATCCAAGTCGCACATCACTTTTTGTAGCTCT